AAAAAAATCCTGGTCATTCTCTAGGATAAATATGCTTTCATATTTGGGGGTCTTTTCAGTCCCCACTCAAATACGAGAATATAATCAAAATTATAAGACATCTGTGGAAAGTTTCTAATGTGTGTGTGTGTGTGTGTGTATGAGAGAGAGAGAGAGAGAGAGAGAGAGAGAGAGAGAGAGAGAGAGAGAGAGAAAGTGATTGATTATGGTAAGGAAGAGAGAGAGAAAAAAAATAGAAGCAAAGCAACTTGGAAAAACAGAAAATAACCAGGAAATAAAAATTTAAAAAATTAAGTCTATTATTAATACAAAGAGATGATGGTAGATGTTGTAACCATGAGCTAAGAAAAGAATACTATTTAGCCACAGACAAGGAAGACTACTATTTGAAAAACAGAATTTAGTGAATAAAAAAATAGACTCAGAGTTTAAAAATACAATAGCAAAAACCTGCAGATATCTTGTTCCTGGTTGGGCAGAAAAACTGTGCCAGAGACTTTAATTTCACCTCTGCCCAACTTATTTGTACACTTCCTTTTCCCTACGAGACTAATTATCCAGCTGTGATTATCCACTGTATTTTCTCCAGTTTACATGAATTAGCTGAATATCCTGAAGTTCTAGCTATGATTATTAGCACCATTTTATAGGTGAAGAAACTGTAGTTTAAAGAGATGAAAGGATATGGTCAACTAATCTTTGACAAAGGAGCAAAGACTATGCATTGGAGCAAAGAAAGTTTGTTCAATAAATGGTGCTGGGAAAACTGGGTCGCTACATGCAAAAGAATGAAGCTTGACCACTACCTCACACCATGCACAAAAACCAACTCAAAATGGATTAAAGAACTAGACATAAGACCTGAAACCATAAAATACATAGAAGGAAATATAGGTGAAACACTACATGATATGCACATCAAAGACATCTTTATGCCCAAAAATAGATGACTGGATCAAGAAGATGTGGTACATATACACCATGGAATATTTTTTTTTTTTTTTAAATAAAAACATGCCTCTATTAAAAAAAAAAAGAATTAATAAAGGTCAACAAGATTGCAGGATGCAAGGTCAATATACAAAAGCCAATTGTTTATCCAAACACTAACAATGGACAATCCAACATGAATTTTTAAAAATTATTGTATTTATAATAGCCTCAAAAAGAATAAAATATTCTGGATAAGTTTATTTTTTTTTATTATTTTTTTTTTTAAATAATAAATTTTATTTTTATATTCCCCCATACAATTGCAAACGCCCCATTCTGACCCCAATCCTTCCCTCCCGCCCCCACCCCCCAAAAAGTGTCTCTGGTTCATAGTTTTTTGTTGATTTTGATTTTCACTTTCTTATATTCATTTTCCTGGTCCCTTATTTAAGTTTTCTAGATTCCTGCTATGAGTGAGACCATCCGGTATTTTTCTTTTTCATTTTGGCTTATTTCGCTGAGCATGATCCCTTCCAGTGCCATCCATGTTGCTGCAAATTGCATGTGTTTATCTTTTTGAATGCTGAGTAATATTTACACCATGGAATATTACTCAGCATTCAAAAAAGATAAACACATGCAATTTGCAGCAACATGGATGACACTGGAAGGGATCATGCTCAGCGAAATAAGCCAGAGAGAAAAAGAAAAATACCGGATGGTCTCACTCATAGCAGGAATCTAGAAAACTTAAATAAGGGACCAGGAAAATGAATAACTATAAGAAAGTGAAAATCAAAATCAACAAAAAACTATGAACCAGAGATACTCTATGAGGGGGTGGAGGGCGGGGAGGGGAGGGATTGGGGTCAAAATAAGGGGATTGCAATTGTATGGGGAATATAAAAATAAAATTTATTAAAAAAAAGATATCTTTACAGACACATCACCCAAAGCAGTGATAGTGAAGGCAAAGATAAACAGCTGGGACTACATCAAATTAAAGTGCTTCTGCACAGCAAAAGAGACAATAACAAAAACAAAGAGAAACCCCACCGACTGGGAGAACATTTTTGCACACAACACTAATGATAAAGGACTGATCACAAAAATCTGCAAAGAGCTGATGAGACTCAACAACAACAAAGAAAATAATCCAGTCAAAAAATGGGCAGAAGAGCTAAAAAGAAACTTCTCGGAAGAGGAAATGCAAATGACCAACAGGCATATGAAAAAATGTTCAACATCACTTGTAATCAGGGAAATGCAAATCAAAACTACCATGAGATACCATCTCACACCAGTGAGAATGGCACATATTAAAAAAACTAGCAACAACAAATGTTGGCGAGGTTGTGGAGGAAAAGGAACTCTCCTGCACTGTTGGTGGGAGCGCAAACTGGTCCAACCACTATGGAGAGCTGTGTGGAGATTTCTGGACCTACTAAACATAGAGCTTCCATATGATGCAGCAATTCCACTCCTAGGTATTTACCCAAAGGACACAGAAACATCAATTCCAAAGAGCACCTGCACCCCTATGTTTATAGCAGCACTGTTTACAATAGCTAAGCTTTGGAAACAGCCCAAATGCCCAAAAATAGATGACTGGATCAAGAAGATGTGGTATATATATACCATGGAATATTACTCAGCATTCAAAAAAGATAAACACATGCAATTTGCAGCAACATGGATGGCGCTGGAAGGGATCATGCTCAGCGAAATAAGCCAGAAAGAAAAAGAAAAATACCAGATGGTCTCACTCATAGCAGGAATCTAGAAAACCTAAATAAGGGATCAGGAAAATGAATAACTATAAGAAAATAAAAATCAAAATCAATAAAAAACTATGAACCAGAGACACTCTATGGGGAGTGGGGGGTGGGGAGGGGAGGGATTGGGGTCAAATTAAGGGGATTGCAATTGTATGGGGAATATAAAAATAAAACTTATTTTAAAAAAATAAAATAAATTTTGATGTAGACCAAAAAAAAAAAAGTAAATAAAAATTAAAAATAGTGCTTACCTCAAAAACAAAAACAAAAACAAAAAAAAAAGAGATGAAAGGACATATCCATGATCACAGTTTGAGGACAGGGCAGAACTTCAAACACAAGGCATCTGGTCCAGTCCCAGGCTGACCAGGCTCCCTGCCACCTAAGTCTTTTTTCAAATTTCAGGATCTACTCCCAGGGCCTGCCTTTCCTGACTCAACTTACCTTTGCTTCCAAACTCTGCATCTGGTAGTAGGATCCAGAATCAGGCAGAAGCCCAGGTGGAAGCCCTGATGTCTTCATAGAATTATTTGTTTTCATGAAGTTTCCAGGTGATTCCATCTATTTCAGTGTGATCTAATATCCCAGGGCAGTGGTTCTCAAAGTGTGGTCCCCAGACAAGCAGATGCAGGATCAGCACTGGTTAGAAATACAATACTTCAGACCAACTGAATTAGAAAATCTTCTGGTGGGTGGGGGCCCAGCAATCTGATTTTTTTATAAGTTCTATATATTTTTTTAATATAGTAAAATCTGTTTGCATTTTATAAGTTTTTATTTATTATTTATTTTTTACATCATTGTTCATTTTTATTTATTTTTATTTTTTAAAGATTTATTTATTTATGCATATAAGAGCTGGGGTACAGGCCAGAGATGTGGGGGAGAGAGGATCCACCAGGGACAGAGTGGGGAACAGGACAGGCAGATTGACTGAAATACACAACTGAGGGGAGCATTGGGCGAGACAGGAGAGGTCTGTCTCACCATGCACCATGTGGGTTTCTCCCTGGCAGGTTGGGGATCGAACTCATGCTGCAGAGGCTGCGGATTATTTCATGGTGTGGTGCTTAACCCCTTGATCCACCAGGGAAGCCCCTCATTGTTCATTTTTAAACAATATTTGCTTCCCCCCAACTCAGGTGTAGTCCCCATAGGTTTCCTTCCCCAAGGCACCCGTGCACCATCACCTCAGTCCCCTGTGCTCCTCCCTCCCTTCCTCTGATCCCTCTCCCTCCTCCTCCCCTGCAGAGTGTCTCGGATTTATAATTGTCTGTTTTTGTTTTGTATTGATTTTTTTTTTTTACACTGATGCCTTATTTGGTTCCCCTATAGTCCTCCTATAAGTGAAACCATATGATATTTTTCTTTTTCCTTCTGACTTATTCACTGAACATAATTCCTTCTAGCTCCATGCATGTTGCTGTGAATGGCATGAGTTTATCTTTTTTATTGCCGAGTAGTATTCCATTGTGTATATATGCCACATCTTGTTGATCCAGTCATCTATTTATGAGCATTTGGCTTGTTTCCAGGTTTTACCTATTGTCAATAGTGCTGCAATAAACATAGGGGTACAGGTGTTCTTTTGAATCAATGTTCTTGTGTCCCTTGGGTAGATCCCTAGAAGAGGAATTCCCAGCAATGTGACTTTTTAATAAGTTCTCCTGGTGATTTTCATGCACACTAAAATTTGATAACACTGCCCTAGGGTTGTGGTCAGAGGGAATCTGATAGGATCAATTCTTGGGATATTGTGGAAGGTGCTTAAATCAAATGTTTAGGAAACAGAGGGGCAGGAGTATGTATTTGTGTCCTGGGTTCCTGTGCTGTCCAGCCAGTGGGTTCTCCCACTATCCCTGTCTATTGGGAGTAGAACATGGAAGGGAAAACATTAGACATCTCTTTACCACCTGAACCTGTGCTGCGGAGTTGTAAAGAAAGTTTTTTGGACACCCATAATGAAGAAGCTGAAAAAAAAACCCAGCAGGGTCATATAGGAGAGGTTGCAGGTCAAGATAGATTCTGATGTCTAGGAAAGAGTCTGATGTCAATGTTCTTGAAAACTAAAGAAGGCTAGATTTACACACTGATATTTGGTGTTAAATGCCCCAGGTCTCATTGTATCTCCTCAGGAATACTCGACATGCCCTTATGTTAAGTAGTGATGATCACTGCACTGCACTTTTAGAGGTTTATATGAGGAAGTGGATTGAGGTGGAAAGATAGGACTTGTCTTATTATAACAATATGAGGCAGTTATAAAATTTAATTTTTTTCCTTTTACAGAAGTCTGGGCCCTGAGTATGAAGTAAGGCTTCGCCATGCTTTTCAACAGCAAGCTTGCTGCTACTGCCCAAGTGCCTTTCTGAGCTGGGATTCCATGATTGATGATGGGAGAGAGTAAATAAATTTCAGTAAGTACACACAAGAGTGGATCAGGACAGTAAGTGCTTACTATGTACAATCAATGGGCATTATTTTAAAGGAGATTAAAATTTCCTGGACTTAATCCTCCTGCTAGAGTGGCATTGGTGGCAGAGGATGAGTTACTGTTTTCTCCAGGGAGGCAGTGAGAAGAGCATCTGTGCCTGTTGAGTAAAAGCATGTAGTTAAAATAAGCAGTTAATAAATCTGCTTAGTTTGGAACTCAATTCTCTGATAAAAAATATGTGTTTGTGGTACATGAAGTGGATGTAGATGGTTCTGGACTGCAAATGTCTGGAGATTGGAGGTGATACAGCTTTCTCTCTTCCTGGAGCCTTCTTGGGAATTGCCTGGGTTTCTCTGTTTTACAACGTATGTGATAGAATTAGATGTTTGATGGAGGCTGGAACTGCTGTTTACTTCAGAGTGCATGTCTCTCTCTCCAGGAGTGACTGACTGATATAATAGGGTGACTTAGCTGAAATTTGAAATCTAACTTTTTTCTAAATATGAAGGTTTTTTTCGGAAGCTAGAAAGATTGTCACTTAAAATTTAAAACTGCGTGTGTTTCCTAAGAGGTGAAAGCTTGACCTTAGCTTTGGGACTTTTATTCTCTAAAAAAAACTTGACTGCTTATCCATTGTTTGAGGAAAAACTGTGAATTCAGTGTTTTCCTGAAAGAAGGAGAAAGATAATACTAGTTGGTTTCATTGATATGTGGCAGACAGAGAAGCCAAACAAAGGATCAGAGAAAGACAAACCTTGAAAGCTGACCATAGACATGAGGCATCCAGGAGGGGAGGGAAAGGGGTGAGAACAGGGGTAGGAAGAGCACAGTGGACAATGGTGCTGGACTCTAGGTGCTTTGGAGGTGGGAGAAGTGTGGAGACCCACCTGAGGTGAGAATCCTATGCTATCAAAGTAACAAGGATGTAAGAAGAAAGTACTTCATTAAAATATAAATTAATTAACAATAGTTTGGAAAATGAAAAAATAACATTATGATATTTAATAATAAATTTTCCTGAAAGTCGATGTCTAGATATCATGATTGTAAATTATGTCTACATTGTGGCAAAGTGAAGATTTTCAGACAGCATTGGTTCTATGTGAGAAAGCTTTTTTCTGTTTAGATTTGTTTATTTATTTATTTAAAAAAATTCAATAGCCATTTTAATGAAAAACTAAGTATAATATATTGCTATGGATTATCTGCTAATTCTTTTTTTTTTTTTTTTTTGGATGGGAAGATGTTTTATTTGCCCTATATCTAGATACTTTTTAAAAAATCTAGATACATTTTTCATTTTTGCACAATGTATGCATTTTCATGTTGGTTCTATTCCCCATACAATTCCACTCCTCTTACTTTGACCCTAATACCTCCTCCCTCCCCCTCTCCAATGTGTCTCTGGTTTACAGTTGCTGTTGATTTTGATTTTTACTGTATTATAATTAGTCTTTCTCCTGGTCCCTTATTTAGGTTTTCTAAATTTTTGCTATAAGTGAGACCATCCGGTATTTTTCTTTTTCTTTCTGGCTTATTTCGCTGAGCATGATCCCTTCCAGCGCCATCCATGTTGCTGCAAATTGCATAGGTTTATCTTTTTTGATTGTTGAGTAATATTTATGGCTTATGGCAAGGCTTGGCCAAACTGTGGCCTGTGCTACAAATATGGACCACTGCATGCTTTGTAAATACAGTTTTACTGGAACCAGGCATGCTTATTAGTTTAAACATCGTCTATGGCTGCCTTCCAACTGCAATATAAATAGTTGGGACAGAGACTGTACGGCCCTCAGAGATGAAATATGTGCTGTCTAACCTTTCAGAGAAAAAAGTTTGTCTGTCCTGCCATCTTTTATTGCTTGTTCTTATGTGTACTCTTCAATATTTGCTCAGCTGTTGGAACCAGAGATCACAAAATGGCAGGGAAACAATGCAGGCCTGAACCTCATGTCACTCTTGTGAAGAAACCTTAAAACTGATTTGAGATAGGCTTGGCATCCGTCACACTTGCTGAACTTTCTTCTTTTTTTTCCCCTTTCCTTTTTAATAGAGATTAATAATGAGCATGTGACATTGTATTAGTTCTAGGTATATAACATAATGGTTTGATATTTGTATATATATTGTAAAATGATCACCACAATAAGTCTGGTTAACACCTGACACCAGACAACGTATCATATTTTTTGTCTTGTGAGAATAGCTGCTCTGTTGGTGTTCTGCATGTGGCTTTATTCTCGGCTGAAGAGCCTTGACTAGATTGGCATCGAGCGTTACACCCTGATGTCATTTTCTTTATTTTCTAAGTATATGTTTTAATTGAACTACCATAATTTTACAGCCTTGCTCATTTTTTTTCCACAATAAAGAATTTCTCCCCTTACATGTGGTCACCATCGTTCTCCTACCAACAAGTCACCCATCACGAGAGCCACGGGACCAGATTTCACTCCATGCTGTGTGGTGGGTGCATGTGGGATCTCCCTTAAAGGGAGTGGATCTTCTCAGTGTCAGTCATTCTGGGAAAAGAGCAATTCTGGGACAGGAAAAGGAGACTCAAGAATGCCGTAGATTTAGGGGAAGAGAAAACTTCTGCTGTTTCACTTATTGTGACAGTTGGGTGTGAGTTTTGGGGAGAGCTTGTTGTGTTAGGTGGATGCATTTTGGGGTAATTGGTTGCACAGAAATGGATAACTAGTAAGAAGGCCCTGGCATTCTGGGGCCTCACCCCACACATAACAGCTGGGCCTTGATAATCAGCTACTACATGGTGCCATTTGCAGATGGAGATAGGAGCCTTGTTTAAATACTCATGGTCAACATAAGGTTTGGACGGCTTTTAGCCTACAGGTCCCCAGAACAGAGAAGAGGTTAGGGGCACCTGAGCAGTCAAGAACCCACATATCACTGCTGACTCCTCCCAAAACTTAACTGCCAGTAACCTGTTGCTGATTAGAAGCCTCATTGATAGCTTTTGTTTACGTTTTTCTCTACTGTGAATGGCACCATGTATGGTGTTTATGTGCATAAGTTTAGATAAATTAGAAATTTTTTATAATAGATTTGTGTATATTTATAGTAATAAATGATAGACTATTATCTACATCTATTTTATGCATTCACAACATTCCCTTTTCTTAATTTTTTTCAATATTTAAGGCCTTGCACTTTTTCTGCAATTTTTTACAAATTGTCACAAATCTCCAAAGATTTTTTTCTATGTATTTATTCAAAAAAAAATCTGTGTGGGGGAAGGGGTAAAAAGAAAATATTTATGTATAAGTGGATTTCACAGTTCCAACCCATGTTGTCCAGGGGGCATCTGTATACAGCTGGGAAGGGACACAACTGTTTAAAACTGATGTGTGTGTGCTCACAGGTGTGTGTGTAGTACACACATCAGTGTTTTCCCTTGTGCCACACCTAAGGAATGGAAGGAACTTTTGCTGTGCCCTCTGCCCCTACGGTGCCAATGAACCCTACTTTGGTTGTGATACCCTTAGTTTTTAATCCCTTCGTCTTATTGATCCTCAGAATTTTTCTCGCTTTTAGATTCTACTCTTAAAATAGTGGTTGGAGCACTCTAAAGGTGTGTGTGTGTTGCCTAGGAGCTTTCTGGGTTATGGGTATTGAAGCTGGTTCCTTGACAGGTAGCAGGTGATAACTGCCTGGGAGATGGGCGCCAAGTCTGGGGAGAAGCGAGCGCGCAGGGAGGAACTGAATGACACTTGTTCTGGACTCTCAGCTGTGAAAGACCTCCCTGGACCTCACAGTGTAAGGCCCGCATTCACGGTGGAGCTTACATAGATCACAGAACCACCAGAATCTCTGGCTTTTGAAATTTACACTATTAGGGAATTTATTTCAAATAACTGAGGAGCAAAGTCATTTCTGCTGTTGGGAAAACACAAAGCAAAACCCTCACCAACAACCCCAACATATATGACTCTTACTGTCTGCAAACTAACTTAAGGAAAAAAGACTACTTAATAAAAACCTGAAGGTTGTGAGCGTCCACACAGGATAACTGCAGGCGGGGGAGGCACCGCTGACACTGCAGCCTCTTCTGTTTGACTCAGAGTGAGACCCTCGTGGATGTGTTTCTGTTTGGAATCTGAGTCTCTGTTCTCTTGAGCAGCTGTCGATTGTGTCTATAGTTGCTGTGTGGTCTGCTCTCCATTTTCTCTGCGCTTTCTTGATGTGCAATAAAATAACATTACTTGGCTTTCTGTTCTTAATTCAATAAGCTGCTCTCAGTTCTGACTTTCATAGGTAAAAACTCCAACAGTGGCTCCAAATTCTAACCGTGGCTGTCATCACAATCTGCTGCCATCTGCAAGGCCAGCAACGAGGCTCTTGGACAGCAGCTTCATCTCCTGCGATGTAATCTGTGCAGCCAGTTCCAGGGCCCTGGGTGGTGTTCAGGATTATTTTTTAGAACTTGTCATATTATGAGGAGTTAATTTTGGATACCTGTATTTTGGAAACTGACCAAGTTTCCAGTAGGGGAGTGGGTTACAAAAAGAAAGATGTAGGTTTTTAAAATTTTTTTTTTAATTTATATCTTTTACATCATTGTGTATTCCCTGCAAAATTCCCACCATCAGTTCACCCGTGAACTATTACCATAGTCCTTTGTGCTCTTCTCTCCCCTATTTTGATCCCTTTTCCTCCCCCTCCCTCAGAATGTCTCTTATTTATAGTTGCCTGCTAGTTTTGTTGTTTTATTATTGTTGTTATTTTTTTTTCCTGATCTCTTATTTGGTTCCCTTTATTCCTCCTATAAGTTAAACCATTTGATATTTTTCTTTTTCCTTCTGGCTTATTTCACTGAGCATGATCCCTTCTAGCTCCGTCTATATTGCTGCAAATGGCATGGGTTTATCTTTTTTGATTGCTGAATAATATTCCATTGTGTGTATATGCTACAGAAAGATGTAGATTTCTAAAGTTAGCCAGAACTGGGCTTCTGACATAGTG